TGTGGTGGGAAGGGGTGGGGGCGGAGCGGGCATTGGGGGGTGCGGGAGAAGGTTGAAGTTAGTCTGAAGGTACGGGATATGGAAGTCCTTTGCGGGCTTTGTCATCCAGGTATGCTCCGAGGACCTCCAGGGCTTCCATAGGATGTTCAGGCCTGCGTCCAATTGGCTGAACAGCCTACAGGGGTCCTGCCATGTTTGATTGTAGGAGTCAATGATGACAGTTCTGGCCTGTGGTTCCTTCTCGTCTCTATGAGTTTGTTTCATGATTTTCCAGGCTTCATGAGTGTGGGATCTGATGACCTCCTCCGGCGCCTGCTGGGCCTGTTGTAAGCGAAACTGATGATCTTTTCGTTCGAGCATCTTGCTTGCCAGGTTAGCATCAGTACATTAAGCCTTGTATATGAGAATAGGTGGACTGCGTAGGGGGACCATTGGGCCAGCTGGTGATGGTTGTTTCCCAGTAGCAGGAGGCCGAGGTCCCATGGAATGTGGTGCGTTGTTAAGGAGTGAAAGGCCGCATCCCACCACTGCCAGATTTGGGCGACCATCAGGCATGCCAGGAGGCAGTGCTCCAGTGTCGCAGGGCCCGGGGGTGAAACCCTGCCACAGTAAAAGCACAAATGGGAGACAATTGGCCTTTCTGCTCCAAGTCGGTTCTGGACACCAGCCAATCCGGTGTGGGGAGGCATCGGTGCAGGATCTGCCACTGCTGCGACTGGAGGTTGGTGGGCATTATTTTGGCATATTTGGGCCAGGTAGGTTCTGCAGCAGGGTTGGGTCTATGGGTGAGTCACGAGCCCCTCTTACAGCTATGGTGTGGTTAATAGGTAGCACCGGTCTCGATTCCCTGTACGCCCCTCGAGCGGTGTAGTCCCATATGTGCATTGGTTTCCCACTTGCCTATTCCCTCTCAGCCGGACCAAAAGATAGGGCCGCGATAAGAGTTGAAGTTTCATAGACGAGAAGACCCTCTTTCTGATCCCCCCCCACTCTTATGTGCATCAGCCCTTCCCACTTTTCATCACAGTCTAGTTCGGCGTTCCGTGTCATCTTTGTCAGCCTCGCTCCCGGTAGTTTGGGCTCGTGTGCTTGCAGAGCACAGTCTCCTTTCTCATTTGTCTGCACTTTGTAGATCACTAGTGGCAGGGGGAGGTCCTCATACTTGACTGCCCAGTCTCCCTGATGCACATCTGGCCCGTTTTTTAGGGCGAGTTGCCAGGCTAGAGGTATGGCCTCCCGAATCTTGTCCAGTTTGTTCTCCACATTTTTGGCGTACCTCTGTTGTTCTTGAAGCTGAGCGGGTGTGAACCAATCCCCACTCCGCAGATCCCACAGGTTCCCTATCGTGTATATGCCTTTTTTAACCCAGGTGAGCCATGACGAGTTCGTTGTCAGTGGGAAGGGTTTACCCGCCTTTTCCACTATGTTGGGGTTGCCAAATTGGTACCATATGTCATGCCACCTGTTGGGAGGCCATTTTTGCCTCGGCCCCACCCGCCTCCAGAGACCGATCATGTACGGCCACATTGGGTTGCTAGCTATGTCCTGTTTGGTGGCTTGGGCCGGGTTTTGTGGTTGCCCTTGGTACGCTGGGGAGGGGTACGGACCAGCGCGCATCGGTCAACCATCAAAGGAGATGTACCTTGCTGTTGGCTGGCGACTCCGGGGCCAGGTTTGCGATCTGCAGTCAGGCCAGTGGCGCCCATGGGATGTCATTACCGATGAGGAGTCTTACCAACACTTTGAAGATGAGGGCTTTGCTTTCCTTCTCGGGGTCCAGAATTCCTAGTCCCCTTTTGGACCTTGGTTGCTTGAGTACATCCCATCTCACCCGGCTTAGGCAGCCTTGGGACTTTGTGCTGTTTTTCCGTAAATAGGTCGTTAGATTCTTGAGTCTGGCATATTGCTTTTGACTTAGCGGCCACAATGCGAGTTTATAGCAGATCGCTGCCAAGATGTTATTGATTGTTAATGCTCTGCCTACTAGCGAGGTGTGCAGGCTATCCCATCTGCTCAATCTATCAATTGCCAACTTCACCAGGTTGTCCTTGTGGTCGATTGGGGGGCCGAGTGCTGTCAGTTTCACACCCAGGATCCTGATTGCTGTCTCTTTTGCTGCCCACGAGACCTGCGGTTGTGGTGGGGGTCCCTCTCCTTGTGTGTATAACCACCATCCCTCCGTTTTGGCACCCCAATTGACCTTCATATCTGCTGCAAGCGAGAAGAGGTGAATGGTTTGCATCAGTGCTTGGAGTCTTTCCTCGTCTGCTCGAAATAGCGCCGTCAGGTCGTCTGCAAACAGCGACGTCACCGGGATGAGGTGGTCCGGGAGGTCTGGGATGGGCACTTTGTGGATGTGGGTGTGAGCCTTAAGCAGTGATGTTAGGGCCTCTATGACAATGGCAAAGAGCAAGGGTGCTATCAGGTCTCCCTGACGCACCGATCTCTGCAGGGCTATGGGTGATGCTAGGTGGCCATTCAGCATGATGTTGGTTGAAGGTGACCTGTGGAGAAGCTGCACCCAGTGGCTGAAGGTCAGCCCGAAGTTCATTCTTGTCAGGCACATATCCAAGAAATCCCAGTCTATGTGATCATAGGCTTTTTCAAAGTCTATAAAAAGTATCGCCGCTTGGACTTCATGCTGGTGGGCATACTTAATGGTCTCGTTGACTAGTAGGATGTTATCTTGGGTGTTCCGGTTGGGCATGAAGCCTGTCTGGTCGGGGTGAATTAGCAGATTCATCAGTGGCAGCAACCTTTTGGTCAGTGTTTTTGCGACCAGTTTATAGGGACAGGATGGAGCATGATTGGCCTTTAGTTTCTAATTTCTTCCTTATCTCCTTTCTTATATAGTAGAGTGGTGATTCCCTGGCTTATCATGCCCCCGAAAGATCCTTCGCGCTGTGGAATTTCAAAAGTCAAGTCTGTTGTCAATGGGGTGGTGTTTTCCTTTTGTTTTCCTGCTCTCTCTTCCCCCTCCCCTCCCCCCTTCCCCCTCCCCCAGAGGATGGAGAGTATGGAGTCATGACCCCCATTGTTTTATCCAAAACGGTTCTTTTCTGGTCTGTTTTTTCAGCTTGCCGATTTCGTTTGCTGTTGCTACCACATGGCACATGCATCTCGTTACTTTCCTTTCTTTTCGGCTAAAAATCACGAAAGGAGTTCTAGTACCAAGCCCATGTGTCTGAGTGGGACACACATGGAGCTTTTGGGGGTAAAGGGGCTTACCCCTTTTCTTGGGAAAAAAAGAAAGGGGTCCCCTAGCTAGTGAACGGGTCATGACTATGAATTATGATGGAATTTCATATGACTAAGTATCAAATACAGTAACGTTAGGGGATACCCCCCCTTTTTTATGTCTTTGCAAAAGAAGGCAAGGCTTTTTTTTTAGTTCAAGAGGGGGTTGTAATGAACCCAGTCTGGCAGATACTCAGAAGTCGTCAAACATCAGTAGTCTCATTATGTGCATCAAAGTCTCCAAATTGTGAAGTGATATCTCAAACAGTATCTCATTACCATCAAAGAAGAGAGTGGAGGGGGAACAGACAAAGGAGAAGATGAAAGATCACACAATAATAATCCCTTCAGACCCCTCTCCTTCTCCGGGCTTCTTCCCTCTCCACGTCAACAATGATAATAAGTATATTCCTGATCACGCACAATAGTGCCACGTGGCACTTTATCTCGTGAAGACCATGAAGACATAGCAGATTCCAGTGACAACGTCAACCTCAGGTGAGTACCCGATCTCCTTCATCCACAGATCCCGATCTTCCTCTTCCTCGCAACCAGTCACCTCATGTAGACAGCGTGGACAATGCCACGTCAGCAATCGAAACAGGTGGCATATGCCACATCATCAATGGAGACCAGTGGCAGCGCCACATCAGAATGTAGACAAGTGGTAGTGCCACATCAGCATGCACTGTAGACCAGAGGCAGCACCACATCAGCATGCAATGTAGACCAGAGGTAGCCACATCAGCATGTAATGTAGACCAGAGGTAGCGCCACATCAGCATG